TTGAGATAAATTTTATTCTATTTTTTTCAATATTAACCTTGTATTGGAAATAAAATACTACATTTATAATGAGATTGTTTTGGTTGTTGATGAGTTGCATAGATGATAAATAAGAATAGTTTTGTATTTTAAACACATTATTTAATATTTTATTAGTTTTGATGAACTTTCTAAAAAAAATATCTTTTAGAATAGAGAAAGAGTATCATTTTTAAAACAATTGAGAAATTCTAAAATAAATCTCATTTTCTAATTCCAATATGTTTTTTACCCAAATTTTTCAAAATTGAAAAAAATTATTCTCAAAAGAAATAGTATTAATGACAAACATTTGTTTTATTGGAGTAGGTTAAGAATATTTTAGTAATTTTCCTATCCTATTTAAGTATTTTTTAAACTGTAGGTAATTATCTAATGATACTTATGTTGAATGGAGGTTGCAATAACCAAACTAATAAGGTTGCATGGCCAAAAAAAAAAAACCCCACTGGAGGTTTGCTTTCCAATTTAATTTAATGAAAAGGCGTACTAATAGCTATTATCTTTGTCCAAAAAAACATAAAATAATCTATATTGAATTTCAAATTTGTACTAAAAATAGTACAAAACTCAAAACTTAATGTAGACTGTTTTTGTAGGAGTGGAAGAGTATATTGCATGAGGAAGAAGGCATGTGCAGTGTGCAATGACGTTTTCGACGAATTATGGACTAGTTACTCAACTCTTACAAGTGCAAGTGATAATATGTCGTAGATATTTGTTGTGATTAAATAAAGCAAAAATCATTTTAAAATTTGTTGTATTTTTTTCTTCCTTAATAATGTTGTCAGTGTTCTTTTAAGAATTTTGTGTTATTATATCCTTCTGCATTTGCCTTTATAAACCCGTATATTACAGGTACCAAATATTACTAATTACTCTATCCGTATTTTTTCTGAATCATATTTATTGTACTAAATAAATTTCATACCTGAAATATTTCTCAAAGTCGAAAGGACAACTAAAATTCTGGACGCATGATATCCAAAGATCATTACATCAATTAATGCTAAACTCAAGCAATAAAGAGAGTAAAATTTAAGAATTAAAACAGCCGGTCACTCATGAACTCTGTTAGCAAAGTGCAGGTCACCCCGCTAAGTATTGAATTTTGAAAATACAAATCAACGATGATAAAATTTTTATCCTCACACGGTGAATCTTCTTTCAAAAACTTACCACATGCAACAGTAATTCTTCTTCTAAAAAAAAATAAATAAAAAAGGAGAAAGAAGTAGTATACCTTTTCATACCAAAAAAAAAAAAAAAAAAATTGTATAAGGCAAATTTTTTCCAAAAAGTTGAAATCAAATTAAGAAAAATATCGGTCAACCAAATTAAAGAGAATTTAATAATAAAACCTTTTTACCTTTTTACCTTTTAAAGAGAATTTAAAATTGGAACAATACAGAGACCTTTTTACCTTGAAAAAGATAGTAATAACAAAACATACTTTTCAATTTCATTAAATTAAAAGAAATAAATTAGTAATAGCGTAATTGATTGTGGTTACCCCCTAAGAAAACAAAACAAATAGTTTTTTAGTAGCATTAATTATTTATTTTGTTACCCTTTTATTTTATTTTTATTAGGAAGAAAAATGAGTCAGCAAGGCCCCCCTCCATCATGATGACATACGTATGATGTAATTGTATCATCGGCCTGAATAGAAAATACGTGGGACCCGCTCCTTCAATTTTCCATCCACGTTTCATACAGCCAAACAAAAACCCACCGTCTGTGTCTATGGAGAAATGCTCAAAACCCGCCATTTTGATCCCATCCATTTTTTTTCCCTTTCCCTATATAAATAGAGAAAGAAGTCAGCCTTTAAAGGGCAACAGTTTTCATTTCATTTCTCATTGTTTTCTCCTCCTTGTTCTTGATGAGAGCGGTGTTTATCCCTGTATTTATTTCTTCTTTTTTCCTGGTGAACCTGTATTTTTTAAATCGATTGAAAGTTTCCGAAAGAACAAACCCGATCATTACCATGTCTGAATCATCGGATCATCAAAGTGGTAGTCTTAGTTCAAGAATGGTTGTTAAGAAAGTGCTGTCTAAGGCTCAGAGTGAAGGCGTTGGTGCTGTTGTTAGGAGAAGTATTGGGAGGTAATTAATTTTAATTTTTTGTGGGTTTTTTAATTTATTAATCAAAATTGGGATTTTTTTTTTTTGATCTTTTTTAGTGGAATTTATGATTCATTGGGTGTTCTCGATTTATTTTTTTTTTTAAATTGTGTGTTTAGGCCTGAATTGAAGTATATTGATCCATTCCTCATGTTGGACGAGTTTTCAGGTACGCTTTTTACCGCTCCATTTGTATCATGAGGAATTCTCTTTTGTTTCTTTTGTCTCAGATTAATGCGGTGGTGATATTAATAGGCCCTTTTCAGCATTCTTAATTTTCTGCCGAATTTGCATTTTTAGTGTCTCTGTCTTTTGGATCTCGGTTCTGGAAGAGCATTTATTATTCCTTTGATGCGTTTGACTGAAGACTTAAATTCTGTTTGTTGTTTTCCTTTTCCAGTTAAGCCTCCTGCTGGATTTCCGGACCACCCACATAGAGGTTCATTTTTTGATCCAAATGTTGATTGAATTAATTTGATTTGATTTGGTTCATTAATTAGTTAATCTCTGTTTTCTGTGATCCAGGTTTTGAGACGGTTACATACATGTTGCAGGTAAAATCATGACCTCATGTTGATGGAAAAGTTTGTTGATAAATTAGTTCTAAACTGAAAATTTTGGGCCTTTTTGATTCAGGGATCTTTTACTCATCAAGATTTTGCCGGTCATAAGGGAACAATCCATGCTGGTGATGTACAAGTATGATCCTTTTATTGCCGATTGTTTGCAAATTTATCTTTTCGTTTTAGTGAAGTTTTAAGGGAAGAAAAAGAGGGATTTGTATTAGTTTGCCTCTTTGCCACTTCTCTAAGAATTATGGCGGTGTTTATTTAATGCAGTGGATGACAGCAGGAAGAGGCATCGTTCACTCTGAAATGCCTGCTGCAGGAGGTACTCAAACTGGCTTGCAACTTTGGATCAATCTTGCTTCCAAGGACAAAATGTAAGATCCTTTGCATCAATTGATGATTAAACTGCTTTATTTGATCCAGATTTTCTTGTCTAGAAGAGTTTTGTATCATCGGATAGGGACCATAGGGCATTAAACTGTTGCATTTTGTGGGCTCTTTGTGGGATTGTGACATAAAGTGATTCTAATTTTTAAGAAAATAAGATTTCATCATTTTTGTTCTAGAAGGCCGTTCTTTGTCCACCATATGTTGGCTTATCAAATTTGTCAAGTTGGTCCACTTATTCATAACTTTACGCTGATAACTTTCAACTCTTATTTTGGAGTTATCTGGCATGAAATAGTATTAGTTCATAATGTCTAGTTTCAAATTTTCATTTTCTTGTATCAAATTGACTTTACTACTGCTTCAGGATCGAACCTGGATATCAGGAATTGCTCGATGCAGACATTCCGAGGGCAAAAGAAAATGGAGTTGAAGTTAAAGTTATAGCTGGAGAATCAATGGGAGTTCATTCACCAGTTTATACAAGAACCCCTACAATGTTCTTGGATTTCAAAGTTGAACCAAACGCTCAACATCATCAAAGCATCCCTGAAGCTTGGAACGCTTTCGTCTATGTACTTGAAGGAGAAGGAGTCTTCGGCGCTCCTAATTCATCAGCTGTTTCTGCTCACCATACATTGCTTTTAGGTCCAGGAGAAGGTCTTAGTGTATGGAACAACTCCTCCAAGTTATTGAGGTTTGTCTTGATAGCAGGTCAGCCGCTCAATGAACCGGTTTCTCAGTATGGTCCTTTTGTCATGAACACACAGGCCGAAATTGATCAGACCATAGAGGATTATCAGTATGCCAAGAATGGTTTTGAAAATGTTAGGACTTGGAGATCCAACTGAAATTCGAATCTGCAACAAAATTTGTGTAGAAAAAGTTTCAAGATATCTATCATTGTCTTTGGCTGTCATGATCACCACCAGTACAGAGAAATCATGGAAACTGAAAAGTAGCTTATTCTCCCCTTTGAGAGTAAAGTTTCTAGAAACTTTTAAGTGAGCATTCTGATAAGGCAGTATAGCTCTAGGTGGATTTTTTTCCTTTTTCCCATTGGCAATTGTTGTCAATTACCATTGAATTTTTATTTTTTCATTTTTAGGGTTGCTTCTTAGTATAACAGATCCTGATTAAAGAAAAAAAAGGTCAAATTGTTATCTTTGTCATCAAAGAAATATATTCCCTTTTCTTGTTATTTGAGTTATATATCCAGCACCATAATTAGTGGCTTGGGTATTAAAAGTCAATTAACAATTGCCTCTTAGCAATGGCATTCTCAGCCTAAACATAAAAAAGTGTTTCATGGTCTCTCGTTACACTCTTTCAAGTCTCAATACAATCTTATACATTTCAAAACAAATTAGCGACGGTAAAAACCCTTTTATTTCATAGAGTGCAACTTAGTTTAACGTGCTACATTATCTGTAAATAGATGGCTTTTTCATTTTGATACTCTTTTTTTTTTTTTTTTTTTGAGAATCAACTAAGTTGGATATGGTGGTGGGGTGGGGTTAGTTTGCCTTTGTGAGTTGAGTTCTCCATCATAAGCAGGTGACCCTCCCAACTAAAATGTTATTGCTACAACCACTAGGGTTTTTGAGGGGAGGCAAAAAGTGTTGATTTTTTTCTTTTTTTAGCTACATGGGAATTTTGATTCAGCAATCAATGAAGATCTTTGGCTACATGGAAAACTATGAATATTAGATTCTTGACGTGGTCAATTATATTGTGAGCCTTCTGTTCATGTTCTTGTTCTACAATGTCAAAGGTGGAGTTTTACGCACTTGAAATGGATTCCTTACCGTGATAAGAAGCATGATTTCATTATTATATGGGCACGGTTATATAAATCATATGCTACATTTGGATGATGTTCCATGTTAATCCGACTAGAAAAATAGAGAGACGGTAAAGCCAAAAACCATGGGGAGAAGTCTAAGCAAAAGTCACACAACTGAAATGATCAATGGAAACAAAAAATCCTTAACACTCACCATAAATTACTTTAAAACTTGTATACAATGTGTGTAAACAATTACAAATATTTGATATATGTATATATAAATCAAAAATAGAATTTCACCTCATAACCATATAGTTTCTGACAAAAAATGGGAAAGATAGAAAAAAAAAACACAAATGAAGAACTGACCAAGCCGCCCATATCAATCAAATGTACTCTTCAGGAATTTTCTTACGCTGACTAATCAAATATGTGGGGGTCTATCAACTGGAACAGCATCTCTTTGTTTGCTTTGACCCATCTTTGCCATCATCAAAAAGGCTAACACGATTTACCGACAATTCTGCTTTGTAAGAATCGGAGTTCAATACTTTCCTGCTGACATTGTTATAGATCTCTCGAATAACCATATCAAAAGCTGTTTTAACGTTTGTTGAATCTAATGCTGATGTCTCCATGAAGAACAATCCTTCTGATTCGGCAAGAGCCTTGCCTTCCTCGACACTCACATCTCTTATATTCTCTAGATCGCATTTGTTCCCCACGAGCATCCTGGCAACCGTCGTATCAGAATGAGCTGCATGATGATCATTGGTGAGTATTTGTTTTAGCTTGAATATAAACTCAAAAGGGCTATTTTTATCCATCCGCACAATGGTAATATGAACTGGTGAAACAAGAACTCAATTCCTGACTAAAAGAGTTGATGTGAGTGGTTATCAAAGCAATGATATATATGTATGGCCAACATAACCCATATGAAACAATAGTTCAGTACTCTGTAAGTATGCCTGGCCAGCATCCTTGCCCTATCAGTGTTTCCTAGATCAAGCTGCTCCTATAGAAATCAACTGTTATTTTGATCCAACGAAATGCCTTGAATCTTTACTGCATTGTGCCAACAGGATCACACAACTATCCTAACTTTTCAATCATCCAAGTTTCTAAACATTGCTATTCACTGAGACCACAAGAGTTGGTGAATAGGATCCTCATTCCAGATCAAACAACACAGACCACATGAGTTGGTGAATAGGATTCTCATTCACTAGTCCCCAAGTACATAGTCTAGAGCGGATAAGAAAGGGCAGCATAGCTCAACTGAGCTATAAATAGTCGTGCCTAGAATCGTCATGATTCCTGGAAGCCAAAGTTCATTACTTTGATCGATTAAAATATTATTAGAAGTCGTGCACAGGAAGGCTTTTTTGTTTTTAGTAGTTTTTAGGTTTTAGTTGATAATTTAAAGTAATCCGCAGAATTACCGTATAGTAAAGTTTCCTATTTTATGTGTTTCTTTTAAATGTGTCTAGTAGTAGGTAGTCATCTGAAAGGAGACTAAAGGTTGTTTCCTAATAGGTTTAGCTTGAGCCTATAAATAGTGTAGCTCGTTTGAGCCTTAGAATTCAGTTTATCAGATTAATAAAATTCCTGCAAGCATTTGCTTTCAACAGCAGTTGTGTGATGCAACTTCTTTGGGTGTGATGCCTAGGAATCCTGCAGTCTGATGCCAAAAAGGCCCTAGGAGTGATTCTTAGATTTTGCTCTTGTTTCCTACCGTTTTGTTCCTGTTTCCCTGCGATTTTCTACCTTGTTTCCCGACAAATTCTTTTAATTTTTCCAGTGCGTTGTACCCTATAATCAGCCGACAGTCTAGTTTTTCTCAACACCACGATGTCCTACATCATAGTCATTTCTTAAAGAAAAGCAGTTGAAGATTCAGCATACTCCGGCAAGACCCTCCAATAAAATTTTCATTTGTTCAGCTGCTGAATTTAATATATTTAATCCACTACATGGAAAGAACTTCATCCTTAATACTTTGTTGTAATTATCACAAGCTGTCCCCCTTGAAAACTATCATTTTGTGTCTCTGCCTTTGACACAAAAAGCTCAAAAGAATGGAGCAGTTTTTAAACCACATGATGGAGGAAACTAAAAACTCAAAAATGCAATCCTCCACCTTACTACCTCACCAATCCTTCAAGGACTTTATCAACTCTCTTAACTCCACACTAAAATGTCCAAATAAATGCAATTATTCCATATTATATTTCTAGTTGGAGATTGCACTAAAAGGGATACTTTGTTGTGTGAAGTAAATTGGTTATCAGGGAATGCTCACCCACAATTCAACATCATCAACCTCCCTCCTCCATTAGCTTCCCTATACGACCCCCAAGAAAAACCCACTACACGACATTTCAATCACTCTGGTTTCCTCAGTTTCCAAACCATGTTTCATACTTTCTATGTGCCAAGCCTAGATCTAGCATGTTAACAAACATATGCTCTTTCAAAGGGTAATTCTTGAGGTCAAATTTTGTCAGGTGCAAAAATTCAGCACAAAACAGTGGAAGATGACATCTCAGAAGTCATTAGGATTTACTTGGTGGCTTAAATTATCCTGAATGACATTGACATCTTAATATCTCATGTATTTAGCGAACCCATGGTTAGGAACCAGATTTCCAAGAGTGGACCAAATATGGAGAACTGGCTGTCAACATATGTTTGTTCAAAGGATCTTATCCTTGTAGTTGGTTAGGGTAGTTACTTTCATTAGTAGGCAGTTATTTTCAGACAGATCTTATCCTCCTGTTCACACATCTCCGAGGTTAAAAAAAAAAAAAGACCAGATGGATTTTAAGTTAAATGGGGGAGCAGGGAAGACTAGTTTAGTTCATGCAATCAGCACACATAAATTCCAGGAGGGGAAGCTCCAACCATAAGCTTTCATACATTCAAAACAAAGTCATCAGAGAACTTACCCTGTTTGATGCATGATGTCAATGATTACATTAGAAAACACAAAAAAGGCAACGCCTATAACATTTAAGCATATCATGTTAGCTCATTTACGAGCATAATTTAACTATTCCAGTTCCTTCATTAGAATGAGGAGATGACTTGTTTATTTATTTGCTGACAAACAAGATCATAAGGATTGAAACTATCTACCTCCGCAATGCTTTCAATCCAAGGGACATGGACAAATGCAGAAACAAAAAGCAACGTCCGGAAGAATCAATCCATTTACGGCAATTCTCATATTCATCAAGGTTGCTTCATGCTTTCTCTCTTTAAGCAAAACAATGGTATTCCATCTCCTTGAGAGATCTTAAAAGGATTTTAGCAAGCAAAATCCACTATGTGTCTCAATACGGTCAACAATACTTGTGAGCATCGTAACCATAAGGACGCTTTTCTCCAAAGATTTTAATGGAAAAATTATCAGTTCTGGCAATTATGACTAAGCCTATTACGCAAGCAAATTAATAAACACTTTCCCTAGTTAAAGCTAGCTCAACTGCAACACATAAGTCGAACATGGCAATTCAACCTCAAGGCACATGGTTAAACTATTTTTCATTAATCATTAAATGAGAAACTGTGAACTGAGTACAGCTTCCAATCAGTGTTAGATCCCAGTACCCTGTAGGAATTTCATATGATAACTGGGAATCAGTAGTTCAGGAATTTAGAACCTATTCATCTATATTATACTGCCTCTGTCCCACAAAATAGTCCACATTGTAATTTGTGAATTGTACTCTTTTTAGTACAATTTACGAAACATAACGTGGACTATTTTTCTGGGATGCAGGAAGTAATACAATATCTATGGTTTACATATTATTAACAAAAATTTGAGATAGTAACAGATTCTTCGGCATGGACTATTTTGTTAGCCAAACACAGGTCCAGGTGAAGCTTGAAATCTCGTATAGTAAGGAAGAGAGCAATTAAGCATAAGGAAGAGAAGTTCACAACATGAACAAAATTTTCCTTATGCGTACCAAGTGTAGTAAATGACTCAAAGACATACCCTTTTAGAATTTTGACGCAAGTTGCTTTCCTTTTAGATATCAATTTGAGAATTTAAGCAAGTGCGATCACTAACTTCTTGGAAAAAGACTCTAGCACCACTCATTATATTTCTTTGACATTTCTGGTCGAACTTCATAGTTTAATTCCAAATGAATCTACTTGACCTATGCAGCAGAATTGGGAGAGTAATTATTCTAATAGCCACTTCCAAACAACTATCTTTTTTAGGAAGATTCATATGAATGGCTACAGAAGATTCTGCATACGCTAACTGCTTTATGAAAAATCTCAAACACCATCGTTCACATTTGTGATTGATGCCTAAACTACAGCAGTGGATTGTCTAATCAGAATAAGATGTTCACACAGAATGTCAATTGAAAGACGACTGCACATGAAGCGTTTTTTTATATATCATTTCAGTGGCTAGTATCCTTTCGCAGTTCTCTTTATTACATCAGTATGTAGCAACAAAACATTTTCCTTGAAAGGGAAAAACTTGATGTAAACTTGTTCAAGCCTTGATGCCATTTCAATATAGCTCCTAACTTCTATCCCATAATTTGAAGACTGTAAGCATTTACTTTAGTGGATCTTTTAAAATGTTAATTCTCCTATGCCTCTTCCCAAGGAAGAAAATTTTTTCATATCCTAAAAAGCCTCAGTATATAATCGTGGGTTACCATCCCAATGCACTCAATCCCACCCACTCATCCAGGCAATTCCAATCATCACAGATTCACCCTAACAACTGGTGAAAATCCATCCATCAAAACTTTTTCCGATCATATCTTAAAAAGGGTCCACATCCGATTGCTTTTCCTTTTTTTTTTTTTTTGAAAATGACATCCCCATTGCTACTCAAGCACAACTAAAGAAAAAATGCATAAATTTAACAATAATAGCTCCCTTCAACCTTAGAAATGATAGCTATAGCAAAAGACCTTGCCCCAAGACCAACAACCCCAAGACCTACAAACCCAAGAGTACAGTAGCATATGCACAGCAACAAAACAAAATGCACAAGTTTAGCACCAACAAAGATTAAACTTGATGGCAAAAATAACAATTAATGGATGCCAAAATTCCAGTACATAAAACAAACAGATATTTCACATAAATTATCCTTAAGAACTGATCTCAAACTACATAAAAATTCAACTTTATGAATAAAGCATCAATCTTTAATGCAGAGACCATACAGAGCAAACCAAAACTAAAACTGATCAAGGAACGCATCTATAAAAGACAATCCAATAAAAATAAATAAATAAAAAAACTTAAAGAGAGGAAAAAAGAAGCCATACTCTTAAGCTCATCAAGCCATCGAGGAATACTTTCAAAGGTGGTTTTCCTGCTAATATCATAAACTAAAAGCGCACCAAAAGCACCCCTGTAATAAGCAGAGGTGACAGCCCGGAATCGTTCTTGACCAGCAGTGTCCCAAATCTGAGCCTTAACTTCTTTGCCATCAATTTCAAGACTCTGGGTCTGAAACTCCACCCCAATAGTGGCTTTAGAATGTGGGTTGAACTCATTTCTAGCATATCTAGACAGTAAGTTAGATTTCCCAACTGCTGAGTCCCCAATTATCACAATCTTGAAAAGGTACTCCTCTCCTTCTTCATCTGATGAACTCATTGGTGCGGAAAATCTGGAGAATTTGGAAGATTAGCAAATGGGCTTACGTTGGGAGAGGAGACAATGGAGGAGACTGAGACAAAGACCGAGGTGATGTAATAATAACATTAACAGGAGTGCGGTGGAGTCGTGAACATGTGTGTGCCCACGACCATGAGTTGTTTTCCCTTTGTCACTTGTCTTTGTCGGTTCAAAATGTTGCACTCTTATCAGTTATTTGACCTTTGGTACACAGTATTTGATGGAGTAATTAATTTACCCTATTAGTAAAAATGTGTCACTAAATTATTTTCTGATATACTTATCGTTCTTAGGCGTATTATTTTTCATATGAAAAGATTAGTTGTGCATGATTCTTTTTGGTTCAAAATTAGTCTTATTGGCCGAAATCTAATTTTTTTTCTTCCTGTTTTATAATTTATCAATTTTTCTTTTTGGTAATAACAGAAAATTCTATTAATTACTACAATTCAACATATTTACAACCAGTGTTTTTAGTTTTCTGATCTATGCACATATATACCTAACCTTGCCAAAAAAACTCAGTTTAGACTAGGTACATTTTTTACATGAGTATTGGACTTTCCATTTAACCTCCTGTCTAAGCTTCTGCATTCGGTCTTACACGGTCAAGCTTTTGTTCTGGAACTTCCTAGAGTTTCTTTCTGACCAAACATGATAAATGACTGCTACAAGAAGACTTTCTTCTTCAACTTCTGATATCTCCACTTATACAAGATTCTGCTGACAGATGATGACAGTTTCTGAATTGGCATTTTCAGCTTTAACCAGTTAAGAATAACAACTAACAGATTCTGAGAATAAGCACAACAAAATAATAAATGATCAACGTTTTGTTCTTTCCTGTCATAGAGTTCACAAACTTCTTAACCTGGCAGTAGGTTCAGCTTCTTTAATCTTCCCTGAGTTGTAAGTCTGTCTTTTAGAGCAAGCCAGCTTACAAAGTTGTGCCTTGGCAGATTATAGGAGCTCCAAATCAGATTAGCCTCCTTTTATTTGGTCCTCTGTCCACTTAAACATTTATAACCTTCCTTTGCAGAATAAGGCTTTCCTTGCTGCTGTAGCCAACAATCATCAGGACATCTCTGTTGCAGCATCTCCTTGACTTTCATAAGTTTCTTCCAGTGCCATCCACAGTCCTATGGAGGCTTATAATTCCATATCTGCTGGCCTTTGAGATAATAAGAGTGAACCCACCTGATCCACAAGCTTTCTTTATTTGCTGCTACATTCCAGGTTTGCTTGCCCACCCTGGCTTGATTCCAAAGCACTGGATTCTTTATATGCAAACCTCCTCCTCTTTTGCTGCAACACACTTCAATCCAAGCTATCAGAGACCAAACTTTCCTGGAGTATGTTGTTCCCCATAGAAACATCCTGCAGTGCCTTTCAATTTGCGTGATAACAGATTTTGGCAAAAGAAAAATACCAATCCAATAAGAGTGTAGATTTAACAGCACAGAATTGACAAGAGTTAGTCTATCAGCATAGCTGAGATGTGTGGTGGACCAACACTTCAATCTAGCTACTATTTTGTCTATAACACCTTGACAGTCCTTCTACGTCCAAGCCGAGGGATAAATTGGTACTCCCAAGTATCTGATGGGGAAGGTTCTGGGCTTAAACCCCATATTTCGCTATATTTGACCTTGAACTTCCTCAGTAACTCCTCCAAAATAGATATCGGATTTCTGAGCATTAACAGTGAAACCTATAGTCTCTTCAAACGCTTGCAGCACTGATTTGATCCTCCTTACTGTAGGCAGATCAGCTTGACTGATGATAATTAAATCATCAGTGAAACAAAGGCAGATGATCTTGAGCTTTTCGCAAAAAAGATGAAACTTAAACCCTCCTTTTTCAACCTCTTTCTTAAATAAGCGAGTTAGGTATTCCATAACAATGACAAATAAGAGGGGAGACATAGGGTCTCCTTGTCTGAGACCTCGTTTTCCAGGGAAGAAACTGGTATTCTGACCATTCAAGTTCAACGCAAAGCTAGCAGTTGTTACACACTCTAGCACACAGCTTATAGATTTTGGAGGAAAGCCCAACTGGTGTAAAATTTCATCAATAAAGCTCCAATGAATTGAATCAAAGGCCTTTTGCAGGTCTACTTTAAGCAAGCAGCTAGGTTTAATAGTTTTCCTACGATACAGCCTAATGAGCTCTTGGGTGAGTAAGACATTGTGGAGTTCGGACCTACCTTTGATAAAAGCACCTTGATTTAAATTAATCAAGTCAGGCAGGACTAAACTTAATATTCTACTAAGCAGTTTAGTGATAATTTTATAAACAGTATTGCAACAGGAAATAGGACGATATTCTGTGGCATCCCTCGGGTTTGAGTTTTTTGGGATCAGGCAGATTTAACTACCATTTAATTGTTTCCGTAATTTTCCATATTGAAAGAACTCGAGCACAACATTACACACATCCCCCCTACTACTTCCCAGGCTGCTCTATAAAAACCACTATTAAAACCGTCTGGCCCGGCACATTTATTTACATCAATTTCAAACAACGCCTCTTTGATTTCAACTTTAGTGAAGTTCTTAATTAGGAGAATCTACTGGTATACAAACAGTTTGACCTCTGAATTAAGAACTTCATTTTCAGCTGAAACCCTAGATAATGAAGTGCCTAACAGTTGAATGAAATAGTCTTTGAAATGGGCTTGTACCTGTTGCCAGTCATCAATGATCCTGCCTTGCTGATATGTGCAGGATTGAATCATGTTCTGCATTCTTCTTTGCTTCACACATGCATGGAAATATTTGGAATTCAAATCAACTTCCTGCGTCCATCTCTCCTTCAGTCTTTGCTGCGAGTATGCCATGACAATTTTACTAGAGTTGATATAAGCCTTTGTCAGCTCTTTCTCTTTTTCCTGTAATCCAACATGATGGGGATCAAGTTGCGAATGGTTCTGGACCTCTTCTAATTCCTTCCTCTTGCTTTGTTCTTCCACTTCTATATCTTTATAGTTTGTTCTGCTAAACCTTTTCAGAGCAATTTTCAAGGCCTTCTGTTTTTGCACACGTATAAACTGCTTGGTGCCCACTTCCTCAGTATGCCAGTTTTCCAACACCGTCTACTTAAAGTCAGGATGAACAATCCACATATTATAAAATCTGAAAGCCTTTCGGATTCTCCGCTTATCCCCCCATTTCACCAGAATTGGACAATGGTCAGAAATTCCTCTTGCTTCACCCATTTCACTGCCTCCGGAAATTCATCAATCTAATAGTCATTTACTATTGCCCTGTCTAGTTTGGATATAATTCTATTGTCTCCTATTTGCTTGTTGCACCAAGTAAACTGGTAGCCTTATGTCTTTATCTCTGGGTGCCTTGGTTTAAAAAATGCCTAGAAAAAGGAGTAGATAGATCTATTTATTTTTTTTGGTAAAGCAAAATACGGAGATCGGATTTACAAAATTTGATCTACTAATTAAATTAGTAAATCGGAAAATCTGATTTACTAGAATAATATTTTTTTCAAAAAATACATGTGAAAAATATAAAATGAAGGTCAACTAATGAAGAGTGTAGGGTCAGATTTTAGGAATCCGACCTTCTTTACTCTTAAAAAATAAATATAGGCGGGAGATTTGAAAATTAAGAACAGTAGAGGGTCGGATTTACAAAATCCGACCTTATTTAAGAGTACCTAACAGTAGATATCGGCATTGAATGGATTTTATTGGAGAGCAGAAGGTCGAATTCTTGAAATCCGAGTTGATATGTAAATCGGATTTTGGAAATCCGACCTTACTGATAAACTCGAATTTCAGAAATTCGACCTTATTGTGTTGTAATGGGACGAAGAAAAACACTATTCACATATCGGGATTTTGGTGAAGGGGGCGATTTCTTGAAGGAGGAGGTGATTTGGTGGTGATTTGAAGATTTTGTTCACGATTCTTTACAACGGATGTCTTAAAACCATTTCACAAGAATGTTAGTTATTGTTTTGATGTTTTTAGGATTATTGTTGTTGTTTTCTTTGTAAAAGTGTATAACTAGGATGATTTATAAGGTTTTAGGGTTGATGTTGGGTGTAGTTGATGATTGTTGTTGTATACGTGGTATTGAACGTTCAATTTAGTAAAATGCTTGAATTTGGCCTAAACTTTTGAATTTGTAAGGGGTTTAGTAAATTTAGTGTTGATTATGCCTTGTTTGTGGTAATCGTTATAATAATTTGTTTGATAATGCCTTGTTTGTGTATTTTTTTTAATAATTTGTTCATAATGTGTTGTAATTCATGTAATCAACAGATATAAATGGCGTTTAACGGTCCATATTTCATTAATGTCTATTGTTCGAGCAAATTTGTTGTGAAGAATGGGATTGTGAATACTTTTAACAACATACCGGACGATTTCTTTGTGATTGATCATAAGGTTTTGTACAATGATTTGGTTGGATTGATTTGTGAAAGAGTGGGATGGAATAGAGGGAATGTGAATTTGAGTCTATCGATTTTGTATGATACGATGGGCAATGGTTTTAGGCGTATCGCCAAAATCAAGGACGACGCATCATTGCAAGTGTTGTATTTCCTCCCAAATTCGACATATATTGATTTGTATGTGGATTTGGAGGTGGCGGGTACTTCTAGGTCCCATTTAGAAGTAGGGACAAGTAGTGGTGGGCCGAATGTGGAGAATGTCGATTACATGGAAGATGATGATGTGGGTGGACCGAATATGGAGGATGGCGATCACATGGAAGATAATCACGCAGAAGATGATGAGGACTACACATCAATAAGTGATCAAAGCGATGAAAACCAATCAATATCCGAAGGAAGTTGGGAGAGTGATGAAGAGGTCGAAGACAAATTCGCCACAAGGATAGGCACATATATCGTTCACAGGGTACATGGGATCATACAAAAGTGGACAAGGATGAATTTCAACTTACCATGTGGGACGGGACAACCACAACAATCGGGATAGGAACTTGTTTTAAGAATAAGGAAGATGCAAAAAATGGTATTGCAGCGTGGAACATAGAGCAAAAGAGAGAGTTTTATGTGAAGGAAAGTGATGGTTCAACATGGTATATTTGGTGCAAATCCCTAAAAGAGTCAACCCCTAAGGGTTATGTTCCTTGCTGTTGGAAGGTACGTACCTCCTTGAGAGACCACGGTTTGTGGGAGATTGTGAAATGGGTGCCCGAGCACAATTATATGAATGTCACCGAGGAAAATAATAATCGGAATGTGAGCGCAACACTTATTGCTCATCTCATAAGGCATAAGTGAGTTGGACCCAGATTATGAAGTGAAGCTCGTTCAGGAAGAAGTGAAAGACTGTATACATGTCGATGTTCCTTACCACAGGGCATGGGAGGGAAGGAGAAAAGCTATCGATCTTATTTACGGCGACTGGGTTTCCAATTTTGACATACTTCCAGGGTATTTACTTAAGTCCTATCTAATTTTTTTGATTTGTTTGTAATTTACTTTTAAAATAAGCATTAATTTTTTTTTAATTTAGGTTTTTCGCCGCACTAGAGAAGAGCAACCCTGGCACAGTTATAGAGTGGGAATGGCAACCGGGTTGGACCGATACAGAGAGGACGTTCAAATACATTTTTTGGGCATTCAAGCCTGCAATTGATTGTTTTGCTAAATGTTCTCCGGTGATTAGTATCGACGGGATACATTTGCGTGGCGGATACAAAGGGAAATTACTTGCTGCAATGGTCAAAACTACGAATAAGCACATCCTGCAAATTACATATTGGATCATGGATGAAGAGAGTGAGAAAAGTTGGTCATTCTTCTTGAAGCATTTGAGGAATCATGTTATATCCGACCGTCATGTGTATGCTATATCCAATCGGCACAAGGGTATCATCAGTGCAATACGCCTAATGCCCGAATGGAATGCATGCCACCGGTTTTGCCTTCCTCACGTCCGTAGTAACTTGGTGGCGCGGTTTCGAAGTAAAAAGATCAAAAGGTTGTGTTGGGAGATGGGCATGAAAAGTCGGATTTCCTAAAATCGGATTCCAAATATCCGATTTTGTTTAAAACTCGGAATTTGAAAATACGACCTAAGTACTATTCAGTGAAGGTCAGATTTTTGGTTGAAGGTCGGATTTTGGTGAAAATTTGAAGCCAATTTCCAAAACTCTCTGTCGAAGTTTGGATTTTGTAAATCTGACCTCTTATTTCAAAAGAAATTGGATTTTTAGAATCCAAATTTCGGGGACTATATATATCTTTGACCAAAAATTAGGGGAGTCAAAATCGACCCCCCCTTCTTCTCCAGCCCTAACGGCGACTCCCCCCTGCCGACGACTCCCCCCTTCTCCAGTCAAAATCCTCCTCGGCTCTCCCCTGCAATCGCTGCCGCTTTGAATCCTCCCCGGCGACTCCCCCCAAACCTAACCCCCCTTCTTCTACTGGCGACTCTCCTCTGCACCGGCGGCTCCCCCCTAACCTGACGAATCCTCCCCGGCGACTCCCCCCTGCCATCGACTCGAATCCATCTCCCGGCAACCCATCGAATCCGGCGTCCAATTCTCCTTCCCGGCGACTTCGGCTTCTCTCCTCTGCACCAGCGACCTTCCTCTGGGCGTTATTCCCGGTGTTATTCCCACCAGTGCAAGGTTGGTTTTTTTTTTTTTTTTTTTGGACGCAGATGGTTTAATTTTCTTTTTTTGCTTGTATTTTGCTTATGAAATTTGCAATAAGTGGGATTTCAGTTGTATTTTGCTATTTAATTTTCTTTTTTAATCCAGATTCGATGGTTGATTGGTTGTATTACTGTTAAATTGGAGTCTAACTATGATTATTCTATGACGGCTGATCATGAACTGCAAAATTATGATATGAGTGCTTTGATTGATTCTGTATGTGTTCCCGGAAGGTTGGATGGTATTGATATAATTACGGTGATATCTAGTGATAGTGCTAATAGTGGAATCGAGCCTTTTACTGATAAGGGTGTGCAATTCTGTCGGAATGAAAATTCATTTCATGTGGATCCTGGGGGAATCAGATGCCCATTAATATTGCCAGTGTTAATGAGTTTCTGCATTATGATGATCGTTATGCTTTTGTTCCATTAAGTGGTAATTATATAATTCTGAATATGGTTAAAAGTGATGATGTTTCGGTTCATTTTGGCGAATTGAACGAAGCTGTGATCTGACCTACCTGTAGTGGTATTCATATGCTGTTTAATTTGCTTATGAAATTTAGACTTCTTTAATATGCATGTTGGATGAATGTTGATAGTATTAGTATTGATAAATGTTGTAGGATTAAAAAATGGAGGGTTCGAGCTCCTCGCAACCTACAATGCAACATTTTAATCCGGCTCCAATAGATGACTCCTTGTTATATCTATATGACCATCATAGGGCGAAAGCCATTTTCGAGAACCATGAGGCGTCCGGTAAAGCCCTTAAAGGTAGGAGATTGACAGTCATTTTTGGACGTTTATAGAGAAACCTAGCAAACATTGCCCTCTACAAGTTATAGAAGAGATAAAGCGGGCAGGCTTTGGGGAGGGGGAGATCCAACTAGGTTATATCCAAGCGGACAATTGTTTGATCACCGCAATGGTTGAGAGGTGGCGGCCTGAAACCCATACCTTTCATTTTCATTTTGGCGATGCCACTGTCACTCTAGAAGACGTTGAGTGTTATTAGGTTTGAAAGTGGATGGTAAGCCTGTGGAGGGGATGACACCTGAGAATTCTATGGCACAGTGGATGGCGATGTGCTTTAGATTGTTGGGAATTACACCCGTTAGTGATTTCTTTGATGGGAATAAGATTTATGCAGAGTGTTTAATCAACGAGTGTAAACTTCTGATCCCAGAAAATGCTCCAAGAGAGGCCTATATACAGAGGGCCCATGCCTTACTTTTACTACTGATTGGAGGTTTCTTGATTCCTGACAATACTGGAAACAAAATACCGCTTTGGATCCTGACAATACTAGAGGATTTGGATGTCTATGCTACCTACAGTTGGGGGTCAGCTTTGTTGGCAAAGTTGTACTTTGGTTTGTGTCAAGCTTCCGCGCCCGGGAAGATAGACATTACCGGATGCTATATGTTGATGCAGTTAAATTTTTTTGTTTGTTTGTTTATTTATATTTTTTTATTATATTTTTGTTTGTTATTCTAATTTGTGCCTTTTCTGTTTCATTTAAAATTTCAGTTATGGGTTTGGGAGCGTATCCCAAGACTTCAACCGATGAGGAAAGTTAAAGATCAGAATTACTTGGTGCCAGACGCTCCACTAGGCAATAGGTAATTATAGATTTATTTTATTATGTCTCAAAACAATGGTTTTTTAACTAGAATTTCTTTCCTTCATAGGTGGAAATGCCCAAAATCCAAAGCGAACATCGCCGCTCATTATGTTGCTGGCATCAGGGATCAGTTATCTAGCCTAAGGGATGGTGATGTAAGTATTGATTTTTATTACTCGATAAAATTCCTTTTTATTTTTTTCTCTATTTTTTTTACCAATTTTGTTAATTTTGGCCAATTTCTATGGACTCCATACACTCCCTTCATCGACGCTCTCCCTGATTTTTGTAAAGCGAGGGTTCATATCTACCTCTGTAGGACGTGGATCTTTGTTGGGCCATCAGAGAACCATACGAGCCCAATCGGGTCCTTCGTCAATTTCAGTGTAAGCAAACTGTGCCAGAGTACCCGTTAATCAATGACATTGATCGCTGGAATGCGATACACCACGGATGCCTTGGGACTGGAAAGGCATATGATGATTGGGTGCAAAAACACACCGAGGTACGACCTCATTAGAATATGAGAGATAAGCACGTGGTCCCTCATGAATTGGTTGATCCGGAACTTGGTCCTCAGTGCACAGCAGACTACATGCTGTGGTTTCAAAAGAAGACTATCATATTTATGACTGATCCCACTCAATACAGCCCTCTAGCATAGGTTTATCACTCGTCTTCATCTCTGGAGAGATTTTATGTAAGATATATGTCGATATTTTATTTTAAAATTTTTCTATTTTTTAATTCTTGCTATATCTTATACTTTATTAACATGGTTCAATTTTCTGTAGTCTTCAAATCTCAGCGACGTATATCATCTCGTTGATGCAGCCTTACAGGAAAATCCTGGCCTCGGTGGTAGTCTAGAGGATAAACTTTTGCAAATCTTCGACAAGAATTTCAGTGCCCTGACTTTGGGCCCACGTGATATGAGCACTCAGAATGATACTAAGGTTCTTCAGAAAAGACCACCAGAGTCAAGTCAACCTGTTGTACTCACGTAGAAAACAACATCGAAGCCTACTGGAGGAGGAAGGAGGAAGCGACAGAGAATTTCAGATCGAACAATCATAGTTCATCCCAATCCAACTCCGATGCAAGAAGATGATGAAGGCAATGAAAGCGACGAGGATTACTACATTGGGGGCGAAGGAGAAGAAGAAGAAGAAGAAGAGTCCCCTCCACCTTGTGTTTCTTCCCAAAAGAAAAAGAAAACGGTCGAGGTTCGCAAGAGTGATAGGGTTAGTAAACCGGCCAAGAAGTATACTCTCGTCTCCGGGGCTAGAGGGAAGAAAAGGTCGTCCAAGTAATTCAATTGTAGGACTCTTTGATGTGTATTAGGAGTTATTTGGATTTTTTTTATGATTTTAAACTCTTTAATGTTTATTAGTTGTAATTTGGATGATTTTGGAATTTGAATGCTTTTGAATTTGTTAATGTTTGTTACGATGTGTTTCGAATGTGTTTCTAGGTAATTTTATGCGTGAAATTTGGTTTTGGTGTTGTTGTGATAGGTTGGGATTGGTTTAGAAACCAATCCTTTATTTTTTTCTAAGTTTCTGTCCAAATCCGACTTTTCTCTGTTTTACTATGACATGGGATTTGGAGAATCCGAACTTACCTTACCCGGATTCTCAAAATCCGATTTAACCTTACCCGGATTTCAGAAATCCGACCTTCACCTAAAATCGGATTTCTAAAATCCGACATTGGTCAAAATTTCAATTAAAAAAAAACTAAGTGTTTTTCTTCAAAATATTATATTTTAATATGAAAAGGTCGGATTTGGAAAATCCGGCCTTTTCTTAATCTTGATTACTGTAATTAATTTTTCATATTAAGAGCAGGTTGGATTTTGAGAATCTGATTTACCTTAAAAATCGGATTTTAGGAATCCGATGTCGGTATATTTCTCTTCTCCAAAATTCGACCTATATTTCTCTGTTCTCCTATTTCTGGGCCATTTTTTTTGATAAAAAACTCCTTTATCTCTGCTAGTTTGTTATGCTCATACCAACTTAAACATGTCAGAATCAACACTTGTGCCTGAAGTCCCTCCAATCTTTTCCTCTTGGCTGAATATGCAGTTGAAGTCTCCTATAACAATCCAAGGAGAGGTCAAACTGTTTACTCTGCCCAGTAGACTATTCCATAGTGAAGTTCTGCCCTGAGGTTGGTGCTCTGTATAAACTACTGTCAGTACAGACTGTTTGTTCTTAGCATCTTGCATGAAACAGTGGATCAGCTGCTCTTCCTGATGCACTTGACTGATCTTATACTCTCTTTTCTTCCAAATCATCAGTATTCTACCTTCCCCAGTACTACTATGGTTACTTATAAAATCAAATTCTTTCCACTTAGTTGCCATCAACTCCTCTACTTTCCCTCCTTTAAGTTTGGGTTCCAACAAACCTGCTAACCCTATATCATTTACAGAGAGATAATTCCCTATCTCTCTGTGTTTCAGGGGACTGTTAAGTCCCCTTACATTCCAGTATAAGAGGTTACTCATGATTCCTAGTCCCCAACTTGGGAGGTCTAGTTCCATGTTAGTTAATCCTTACTCCTCCTTTACTTCTATCAATGTCTTTTGTTTCCATTCCCCTTGCATCCTTTCTACTCATGACCTGTTTTCCATCTCTTTGCTGAATTGGAGTTTTCCCTGAGTGAGTTGCTACTGTGATCCTTTCTCTGCTTGGATATGATTATTATCAACATCAGATGCACCTTTTACCTCCATGTCACTTAACTTACTTGTCATCTTTTCATTCTCCTTAGAAGCTTCACCATCAGTCTTAGTGAGTTTTTGTAACCAGTGTTTAGCCATGACTTTTCGGCAATTCCCTGTTTCATGTCCATACCCTTTGCATTGAGAGCATTGAACTGGAAGCCATTCACATCTCACCTTCTGCTCTTGCACAATGCCAAACTCATCCTCAACCTACACTTCACTAGTCATTTTATCTGAGATCATCACTTCCACCAAAACCCTAGCAGAGCCTGTTCTATTGCGTTGGGCTGTCATCTCATCCATTTCTAGTGGTTTACCTAAGAGACTGGTAATTCTACTAAGCGTTTTAGCATTCCAATACCTTAACTGTAACTTAGGCAGCTGCACCCAGACTGGCACCTTTTTAACATCTTCCACCTTGAACCCTTCTTCAGCAGACCATCCTTGACAATTAGGGGTCTATGGTCAAAGTGATACACATTTTGGCTTTGTATTTCCTCTTTTGCAGAAACAGATGAGAACCTAACCACATACACTCTGTTATCCATCAAAAGTACCTTATCAACTCCATGCTGTCCCCAAATTCTACGAAGATATCCATTTACCACATAGAAAGGGGGATTAGCCCCTAGAATATAACAAATCAGAGAAGACCGCCAATAATCAATGACCTCTTGAAATTCATCCTTGCTAACCTTAGCTAATGCTTTATCATTCACAATAGCAGGCTCTATAAACTCTAATTTGCAATTCATGCCTTCCATCTTTTTCAAATCAAAATTCCCCCAATTTTTATCAACCCTAGAAACTGACCCTTCATCTTTAGAGGACTGCTTATCCCCTGATTTCTCATTAATTTGAATAATTTTCTGACAACAAAGCGATTCTAGACCCTTAGTCTGAACATCAACAGATTTCAGAGACAAATTAGGGCTTCATACCTTTGTCGATAACTCTGGATTGTGACTCATCTCTGGCTGAATTGACCCATCTTCTGGTTGTTCCTCTTCGACTGCAGTTTCTTTCCCTCTTCTCTTCGTTTTCCCCACCATCATGAGCCCGCTTACCGTGCCGAAAATCAAAGGTTTAGATCGCACACATTGGAGCGTGTTTTTGCATATAGTGCGCAATTTATCAATTTTGCTCCAATTTTTTATTTCTCGGTTGAGCCAAATTTTAACTTTAACCCATCACTTTTCTAGTTTTACTCTACTTACCTGGATTCATCTTAATCGATCTTACTTTTTACTAAATTATCTATTCTATCCTCTCATTTTTACCACGAACAAACCAAAAGATATCCTTATATATTTATTTATTTTATACTCATTATTTTTTTATGTCCCATTACTTAATCAACTATCCATTTCACCATTTTATCTCATAAATTCTAAAATTAATGAAATTAAAATATTATAAATAAAATATCTCTAAACTAGTAAAATAATTACAATAAAAATATTAAATTAGTAAAATTATTTGCAATAAATTTTTATAAAATTTAAAGAAACGTGAAATGTAATTGTTTTTTTTCCTTTTTCCGTCCAATTCTATGTTTTACCCGACTAACCAATTTCTCAAATTCTAGAATTTCAAATTTTTATATTGTCAGCTTTTTTCACCCATATTTATTCTATTTGATTTTACCTTATGCATACTTTTCATGTTCATAAAAAAATCAGATCAATGCATATACTCATTTTACCTTTTAAACACAAAAATCATCAAATGATCGGAGAAGCGGTAGTTTTGATGCCTTGGAAAGCGGTGATAAGTTTTTTAATTTTGGGGTAAAGATAAAAGTATTGGTGGTTGTAGTTACAGATGCGGGTGGATTTTTTTTTTTTGTTTATCGAATATACTCACTGTTTTATTTGTTTCTTGACGTTATAAATATGGATAAGGTAAAATCAAATAAAATATTTAATCATTTATAAGATGAAAAAGTAAAATAAGAGGTTAAAAAGATGAAAATTAAAAAATACAATAATTCTAATTTGAGAAAGTACTTTGCCGAGTAGAGATAGAGGATTAGAGTAGAAAATATTAAAAAGAAATTTAAACGGATTTTCGTGAATCTAAATTTTCTTAAAAAAATTTCTCGTGAGAAATATTCTTAATTAATATCATTTTTATTTAAATTATTTTATTTTTATTGTTTCATACTATTATTATTATTTCATTAATTTTAGAATTTTATGAGATGAAATTGTTAAATGGATAGTTGATTAGTAATGGACAAACAGAATACAAGAAAATGAGGATAAAATAAAATAAATATTTTAGGATATTTTTTAATTTTTTCACGGAAAAAATGAAAGAGGATAGGGTGAACAAAAGTAAATTTTATATTTTTAAATAGTAAGATTTGATCGAGATAAAAAAAAACTAAGTAGGATGAAATTGAAAAAAGTGGTGGGTTAAAGTTCAAATTTGGCTTGATTAAAAAAAATAAAAAAGGGGCAAAATTGATAAATTATAAAATTCTGGGGAAAATTTATAATTTTTCTTTCTTAAAAAAAAAAAAATTAGATTCTGCCGGAATAGTGGCTAGATCGGTGAAGAAGACCAATTGTGAACAGAAACAAAAAACATTCAGGACTAATTTTTTCATGTAAAAAATAATGGGGACAAAAATTGAGTTGGTAAATAATTTAGGGATTAAAAAGATCGGACGCCCTCATAAATCTTACCTATAAAATCTTTTAAAAAAACAACATTGGATTTATTGGATACATCTCGTTCACAACATAAATGTAATGTGCAACATGTTTTTTGATTTTTGACGGATTAAGAGATAAAATTATTTCAAAATCTAAGATTTTTTTCAAATATTGTTTTGGAAATTTGCAAAAATAAATAAATAAAAAGATCCTATAGTTTATAAATACAAAAAAGTTAGCTAACACACTAAATGTTTTACTGGTAATGTGTAGAGGAGGGGATCCATCACATTACTTATGGATCCAAACCCACACAAGAATGTGCCTTGGTTATGGACGAAAATTGTTATTTATCTTGAACTTTGTTACAATTTAAAACCTTATGGACATAAATTTGCTATGCCTTGAACATGTGGACAAAATTATGAGATATATATATATATATATATATATATATATATATATATTGTTCCAAATCCACATTCCATATGACAAGATATTTGAATAACAGGTTGGATGATATATATATCAGGTCAAGTGTTTAGAGAATTTACCATAGAAGAGGTTTATGAATGGGAGCATCGATCTTACACCTTCTCCTCGGTACCTTTTGACCACAACCAAACCACCATCCAAATTTATATTTCATAAATTTTACTAGATTTCTAGCTCTTTTTACGGAGTATTATGATGAAACATTTGTTAGAATATAAAATAAAATATTATTTAAAAACAAACTCAAAAAAATTTGTACACATTACATATTTATATAGGTAAAAAGAAAAAACCATACCAGTACTTTTTCTTCATCATGTCGCAAATGATTATCTAGTACCTAGGTCATAAATATATTTTATATGATTTTCATTAGGGTTAATTCAAAAGATAACCCTTGTCGTATGATAAACTACACGAAAATCCCTACATGGTAGAGAAAATATCTAAAAAACCTCTTGGTGCTTTTCTAAAGTGTAAAAATTGACGGAGACATGCGAGCTTCCGGTTTTGACCTCCTTTTCTTGCTCTTTTTCATTAATCCCATTCGGTTTAAATTTTTTATTCTCTAAGGAGGCTTTGTTTGAATCCCGCATTCTGAATCAATTCATCAACCATTCTCATTCAATCAACCACCAAGATAGCTAGCCACCTTTACCATGTGCAATTCTTGTTCAAATTTCTTGTATTTTTTACTACCGGAGCAAGGCCAACTTTCAGCAATTCAGCTCCTTGATCAATAAATGCTGCTGAAACCACTGGCCATGTGTTTGAAATTAGAGTGAAACAATGAACATCAAAGAATAATTTTTGAAATCTCAACTTGCGGATGAAATTTACATTTCTAAATACATGTGTAGGGTTCTGAAAACAAAGCTAGTACCACTGGAAGTCCAAGATTTAACCACCCAACATTGCCAGCAGAGCTATAGGTTTATAAAATCTATAAATCCAAAATCTAGGCCGCACTCCATCAGCCACAACAATTATGCTGCCAATACTATCATTGCTACTAGAAGCACAATAAGAGCATTTTTTGTTGGATGATTGTTGATCATGTTTTTCTAATGATTGTGATAAAATTAGAGATATTGGTGTCGGATATGCCTTGCAAACGTTCAAGAGGCGGCGGCTACAAGGGAGATTTAAATCAAGACCAAAATGAATGTGAGGGGAAACTACAGTTTTGACACTTTCTGGCCATTTTATCAATTTTTAAAAAGCACCAAAAGGTCTTTTAGATATTTCTTTTCCACGAGAGGTTTTCTTATTGTTGTCCATACCACAGGGGAGGGGTCTTTTTTGAATTAACCCTTATTATAATGATATATGAGTTTGTCCCTAAAAATTACTTGATTTGAATTGTAATGTTTTTCTTAGTTTGGCCACTTAATATATGATCCCACCTGTATGTTGAAGTTTTTTTTTTTTAAAAAAAAAAACAATTTCTGAGGTTCGCACAGTGTGGATTTGACTATTGATGGGTTTGATAGACACAATTTGTGTTTAGATTTGTGACAGGAGTTGAGAATACCAATCATGAGATTTTATTTAGCGCTTTAGAATGTTTGATTATAGTCGTATATATAATCGTTCATTGGAAAAAAAAATATTCCCTCTATTTTAAACTGTATGTCTTTCTTGCAATTCCATCAATACCAATGAAACATTAAATAATATGTTTGAAATACAAAATCACCCTTATTTATTATCCATACAACTCATCACCAACTAATATAATCTCATTTTCAATACTATTTCATTTTCAATGCAAGGATAATATTAAAAAAATGGGATAAAAGTTGCCTCGATTTTGCATAACGGCACTTTTAAAATTTTTATAAACCATAAAACGACATATATTTTGGATTGAAGAAAACAATAATCAATCTTCATGTCCACAGGATTTCTCATAATATTATTTTTACCTCAATGGATCCAATTCCGGCTAGAGTGGTATATTGTTCTTATAGGGTAAAAATTAGAGGGTGAATAACATGAGGTTTTGACATGTTTTGATATTGGGGTACTTATATTTACATTAGTCATTATAGTGTTACAAAGTGTGGCATGAAATCCATAAAAGTACAATCATTTAACTGTGTTGGTCTGGGTGGAAAAAAAAATATTTCAGAGAATAGTATCATGGACTGGAGTTTTGACATGTGTGTTCTTGATTTAGTAAGAGGCCATATGGTATGATAATTGAAGTGGATTGGATCTTCTATTACAGTCCAATCCACTTTAACCTAAAAGACATGAAAGTTGGGATTCTTTGTGAAATAAGAATATGTTTTAATCAATATGTCATGCCCGCTAATCAACTATATTATAATGATGTTTCTTCAAAATATTATGGCTCATTCATATTATCATAATCCAAACAAGAGGACTCTAACAAATCCAAAAGAAAAAAAAAAAGGAAACCAAAAGTCTAAATAGATATTCAAATAAACAATGAGGATAAATTACCATAATCCAAAACTTTTAGCTGGCTACTTCATGTTGTAGGAGATTGCAATTGAAACTTCAAGAGTGTGATTATTAAAATATTATAAACATCCATACCAGAGGTGGGAGAGTTGGGTGGGGTGGTTAGGGGATTAGGATGGAGGATGGTTATTACTGGGAGGTCGAGGGTTCGATTCTTGCTGAGGCCATCCATTAAAAAGAATAAAATAAAATAAACATCCATATCATGTAATTAATAGTGCATTGAATATATATCGATGGAGACATTTATCATTGATGGTTTAGAATGAAGGTCATGTATAATTGTTACAAAAACTATTGTTAACTAATTCAATTGTTTAGTGTGTGATTATATTGATTGCTATGACTGAAAAATTATCAATGTATGATCATTCATCAATATCACAAGCCACTCTGATATA